TATCTATCTATCTATCTATCTATCTATCTATCATCTATCTATCTATCTATCTATCTATCTATCTATCATCTATCTATCTCTACCTCTATAGGAATGTCACCAGATTTGTTTCTCTGGACAACCCGACCTAGCCTAAGTCTGGAGGGAAGACATCCTTGCATCCCCTTCACGGGTGAGGGGAGCCTCTGGCTGCCACGAGCAGCTAAGCCCTCAAGAGCGAGCTTTGGAAAGACTGAGGGCTGGAAACCGTGCCGAGGTGGCACCTCAGAAGCCATGGGTGTTGATCTGCTTCAGAAAGCTCACAGCCTGGAAAACCCCACTGAGCAGTCCTACCCTGCACACACAGGGCCACCATGGATCAGGACTGCATTGACAGCAGTTAACTCCAGCAAGGAGGAGCTCTAGTGACGTGGTCCTTACTCGTTGGGCTGCTAACTGCAAGGTCAGCAGTTTGAAACCAGTAGACACTCAGTGGAAGAAAGATGCTGCTTTCCGATTGAGTTTCCGTCTTGGGAGCTCACAGGGGCAGTTCTACCCTGCCCTATAGGGCCACTAGGAGTCTGTTATTGACTCATTGACCGTGAGAGGTTTGAAGAAGAGCAGCAGCGGTGCTCAGCACCCAGCGGAGGGAGCTGCACCCCGTTCACAGGCACCATATTTGGAAGCCCCAGAGCTGACAGCTGTCCGTGACCCCACTGCCATTGGGTCAAGCCTAGGTCATAGCATCCCCACACAGGCCTGCCATGACCGTACATCTTTCCGGAAGCAGCCTGCCCTCAGAGTCACTGATGGGGGTTTAAACCGCTGATCCTGTGGTCATCAGGCCCACAGCTAACCCACAGCACCTTTTATTCTCAAACCCACCCTCTTCCCACCACCATCGCAGAAGCAGGGCCTGGGGCACTGCCAAGTCACCCTGCAGCCTGCTGCAGATTTATAAGTGGGGAGGGGGCGTCCATGTGTCCAGAGGGAGTGTTCCTATCTCTCCACAGGCACCTTGGAAGAAAGGCCTGGTGACCTATTTAGCTACTGAAAGCCCTAAGGGACACAGTACAGCTGGACACCCATGTCCTGGTGACCTATTTAGCTACTGAAAGCCCTAAGGGACACAGTACAGCTGGACACCCATGGGTCACCAGGAGTCCGAACGACCTCAACAGCATTAAAAAAAAACCTTTTATTAACAGCAAGATCGCCACCTAACACCTTCGGAGGACGGCCTACTCACGACAGTGAAGGGGTGCTTTCTGAGTAGTCTGTCTGTGGTGTGGGGCAGGTGAGCACAACACGG